AAGTAGGTGCTTTAGACCACTGAGCCATCTCTCCAGCCCCACCTTCATCTTTAGTATAGAATTCTTACACAGGCTGTCATGTTTACATTCATACATGCCAGCTCATTGGTGTATCCCTAGCTGTCCACTGTTGTGACGTGGCTATATAACTGTATCCCACTGTGCGCTTGCACTAGACAGAGAGGTTGTGTCTTCAGATGTACTTAGATACTTCCGAGCTTTGAAGCAGTCCAAGTGGTTACCCATGTCTGAGGAAATTTTTGCCTTATTTAGAATTTTCATAATGGAAACTTCAAAAAATCACAAAAAAAATTGCCAGCTGATGTAAGGATTCCCTTTGTATTTGTCCCCTAGTTTACATAATTACCAAGTCATGGCTAAATTATTCATATGTTTATATCCCTCACTAAACTCCTTCCCATGACTATTCTTTTAAAGCAAATTCTGTCAATCATGACTATTTATAAGCACTTCAGATATATCCTCAATACCATCATTATTCTTTTAAACCCAGCAGGGTCCAGTAGTATCAGATAACCAGTCCATGTAGTAATTCATGTATTTATTCTAAAACCAGTTGAATTTGATTGAACCAGTAAGGCCACTTTTCCCTCAACATAAAAAATGATTCATTTATAGTATTTTGTTTTAGTTAAAGCCATCTTAGAAAAGTATTATCAACAGGGGGCCTGCCCCTTAGCTCAGTTCTTTCAGTGGCTGCTTCAACAAAGCAATCAGGCTCAGGTTGCTGTGGTTTGATCCCTACAACTCAAGCCAGCCAAACCTGCCCTGAAGGCATTTGGAGCAAAAAAAACCCAAACCAAACCAAACCAAACCAAACCAAACCAAACCAAACCAAACCAAACCAAATAAAACAAAAAAAAACCCCTTCTGCCTGGGGCCGGGGAGATGGCTCAGTGGAATAAGTGCTTCCCTGGCAAGTGCAAGGGCCTGAGTTCAATCCCTGGTTCTGCAAAAAAAAAAAAAGTAATATCAACAAAAGTTGTCCCTAGATGGCTTTTTTTGCTTAATATTGGGGCTATTATTAATAATTCTTTTCATTGATGTACAGTATTCCAGTGAGAAAATGCCACCATTTAAAAATCCACTGTATAATA